AAAATTACTAGAGGGTCAATTTTTAGAAAAATAAAATATAGTAGGCCAGAACAAAGAAAGCAAAAAAAAAAAGTCATTCAGAATATGTATTTTAATTAGCATTTATTTTGTTTATAATGTGAATTTTTAATTTTAAAATTGTATGATGTAATTTGAAAATGTAGCACGGGCCAGATAAAAAAGGGTCACAGGTCGCCAGTTGCTCTCTCTAGCTATACGCAATGGGTATACTGATTATTGATGAAAATAGTACAATTTAATCTAATAAAATAATATTATTAATGATATTTTATTTGTTTTCAATATTATTACCTAATATAAAGTCTAATATCATTATGCATTTGTATACAGGAACAAAAAATATGCAGACGTTTATAATGAAGTTAATGCAATCAATAATGTTCAAGATAATAATCATAATATGCAGACACATTTATATGTTGAATCTTCAAAATTATCTTCAGTCCACAATATTTTTAATAAACAAATTAAAAATAAAGTAAATTTACAGTTTGAAAAAGTAATTTCCAAAAATTACTCATTAAAATTGGATAAAAATCAGAATATTCAAGATATTAATATATACAATGCAATTGATCTTTTAAAAATCAACAATAACGAATCATATCACCAAACTAAATCTGAAATAAATTATGTTTTTTTTGATTTAGCTGATGAAATAAATTCAGAGAACGTATGTATTCTATTTTTAATCATATCTATTATAATTTATAAGTATTAAATGTAATTAGATTTTTAATCATTTAAAAGAGGTGATTCCTATGTTTTCGCCAAACTTACGACTTATGTCGTTGTTTGTATTATAGCTTAATTATTCTTAAAATATATTTATACATAAAGATTACTTAGTACCTACAACGGGTTTGAGTACAATGTGCTCCAAAACTAAAAAACATATTTTAATTTTGATTTTACTCATCTGTGTGATTTAATCTAACTTAAAATATAGAATAGTTCATATAACAATATCTTGATTGAAGATGTTTAAGAGAGATAAACAAGAGAGAGAAGAAGAAAAAAATAGCCGATTTGATTTAGGGATAGAGCGTCTTATATTGTTATAATTTTAATTATAACTCTAAAAATAACTCTTAGGTATTAATTAATAATTCTGATTTTGCGGCAACAAATTGATGACACGCATAAGATGATATGAATAACATTATAAATTTTTATAATTAAAAATAGTTAAAAATTAACGTTATCTACCTCATTTATAAAATTAAATTTTCATGTTATCAACTTAGAACTTTCTAAATAGTTTAGAATAGCATTAGTTCAACGGATTATAACTAGCAACGCATGGCCGAGCGCCCGAGCCATCTATTAATTATAAAAAAATCCCATTTTATTAACATTTATATAATTATTATGTAGGTATTTGTATTTTAAATAAACCTGCTATATTACAATTTTTAACATGTACAGCTTATGTACTAAATGCTGCTACTCTTAAACCTAACAGCTAACTTAGGAATATCTATTCCAGTCGGTCGATATCTGATTATATTTAGGAACCTAAATATTTTGTATGTGAAGGTAAAAAGTACTGAGTAAATATGAGCTGAGTGAAATAGTAGATTGAATAAAAAAATAAGATTTAAAGAAAATAATATAGGTCATAGATATATTGAGATGATTATACTATTATAAGTATTATATATGGTTTTTTTCTTATATTAATTATTTATTCTGTGGTGTTAAAAATACATATTTTTACGTGGGTCAGAAGAATTAAGTTTTAATAGAAGTATACAATACCCTTGATCTTTTTTTTAGATTTTGAATGGAGCAACAAATATATTGATTTTCAATTATGTGTTTTTTGTCTGTTGAAGTGTATTCTGTCAAAAATAAATGTTTAATCAGAAAAAAACAAAAAAGTAAATAAAAATAATTTGGGAATCTTACACACATCTAATTTAATTAATTTTTTTTTTTTTTTTTTTGGAGGGGGAACTCAAAGACTAACTGTGGATACTTGCTAAATTTATTATATATTTATTTTATAGTTTTTTATTTATGACATTATTTTCAAAATATTTTTTTAAATTATTTATTAGCAAAATCATTTTTATTTTTCTTCTTGTAACGTAGATTAAAAATTATTTGCTGGGTAAAAATGCTTAAAAATCTAATACAAATCTCCTCATAAATAATTAATTTCTTAATTAAAAAATAACAGAAATCTATTGTTACAAAAAAATTTTATTGAGTTTAAAGTTTTGACAATAGTCATAAAAACATGAAAATTAGCAAATTATTTTATAATTAGAAATTTAAAAATTTTTTGTTTTTGTACCTAAGGTTTGAAAATTGAACACCTTACCCACCTGTTAAAATCTTAGAAAATTAAAATTAATGACCCCAAATCATTTCACGTCATTTTCTTCCACCACCCCAGTGACTGTTCTCACATAAAATTTTAGAATGCAACCATTCCATGCTCAAATTAAGAGGACACCATTCACGTTTGTGTTCTCTCTGTCTTACATTTACATAGTTAGTAGTTACATACATACAATATGGTAAATACTAAATTTTCGATCAGCAGAACCTATTTTATGTTGTCAACTTAATTAATAGAGTACATTTATCTATTATCAAACCATAACTTTAAAGCGAGTTTTAAGTATTTTAAAGTTGTAATATTTTTAAATATAGTTAAAAATAATATTGATAAAAATTACAATTACCTAGTCATAAAAATTTTGAAAAAAGAAGCCACCCATTGATGAAACTTTCTGTTGTTAATAATTTAATTTAAAAAATTGTTTATTATTAATTAAACACCATTTATGCCTTTGGCGTCTTGGAGGATAGCCTGTAACCAAATTTTTAAATAGATAGTTTGAATGATTATTTAATCAATTATAGAATCTTTTAAAAAAGATTTTTGCTTCATATAATTTTTGGGTTTAAGTTTTAAGTCTATATATAGTTTATGATTTCACACGTAGGAAGGAGCATTCATAATTAGTTTTTTAAGAGCTAAGTTATGAAACGCTTGAATTTTTTTTATATTAACTTTTTTGCACTGCTCCAAAGCTGAAGTCCGTAGATCCAAATTTGTTTTAATATTGTTTTGTGTATAAGTAGTTTAGTTCCAATGGAGGTGTACTTATTATTGCATAATAAGGGTTTAAGTATGCCAAGACGATTATTCAGTGCTAATCTTTTAATTCGAATGTGATGAGTCCATAATGTTAGTTTTTGATCCAGAGTAAGGCCGAGGTATTTAATTTTTAAAGAATAGGGAATTAAGAAATAAGAATTCCATACAGAAAAAACATTTAGACAGGAGGGACGAGGAAATCTATAAGAATTAAAAATATAATACAAAATTCCTTTTAATTTTTTTTATCATAGATAAAAAAAAAGTTTAGCGAAAAGTTACATTAATTTTTTATGAGCGTTTGAAATTCTATTTCTTAACGAAATTGAATAATCGCCTTTAAAATAACTATTGTCATTCATAACATGTAATTCGTACATGAAAAGTAAAATTTTATATTATAATTTAAGTGACATATTTTGCATTTAAAATGTTAATAAGTTAAAATATCATTACCTAATAACTTAAGGTGACTTAAGAAGTAAGGGAACGTCAAGTTAGTGACCACAAGATTAATTCATATCCCTCTTCACGATAAAAATCTAAATACATTACACTTATCAGTTAGTACTGTACTATTGTATAATTAATTTAATAAATATTAATTTCAAACTTTAATTATGAACACATATAGAAAACATCAGAACAGAACGAAAATTTCAATATATTGAAAGAAAATAATACTAATGTTACATATACAATTCAACATGATAAATTCTTTAATAATAACTACTTTATGAATGGATTGCATTTACTTGGGATTTTTAATAGAACTGATCTTCAGGTAATTAAAATATAAAACGTTAAGATACACAAATAAGCACCTATGACAATTTGTAAAACAAAATTTTTGAACAAAAAATCAATCATTAAAAGATTTATTTGAAGATTTAAATATTTTTAGAATCTGTAAATTGTATAGTTAGTAACAGTATGTCCTAAAAGTCCCGTATAAAAAAAGATAACAATTAAAATGGAAATAATAAATAAAGAAATAAAATCTTTGTAGGAAACCAATATATTATTTTATGGTTATTTTTACAATTAATCAGAAAATTCTAATTCAATGGCACAAATTGAAAATGTTTTATGCAATTCACTTTTTAAATTGTTATTGTTATATTCTATAAAACCATAAATAGCGTTGTATTATATAAGAAAATGTTAAATCGAGAGGAATTAATAAGCACTAAATTTTGTATGATAAACATATTATACATAAATTCATAATTTTATCGCTCAAAAAATTTAAAGTACCAATCAATTGGTAAAAAATATGTATAGCATAAGTATTTATTTAAAAAATCTAAAATAAATATAGTATTATACTATTTATGCAGTATTTAGACTTATAGACGCAGAGTTAAATAGTTTACTCGCAAATCGCAATGCTAAATTGCTAATACTTTAATGATCGAAGCTACCAGTGATAGTTAAACTGTGTGATTTTTCTCGGTACGTTTTTGAAAACAAAGTATGGGATCCATTGATAAAAGATTATTGGTGGGATCCTTATCTCTATAATGTTAATAGTTATATTCCCTCTATATATCTTTTATCATGATTCATGAATTCATATTTATTATTTCATATTATAAAATTATTCTGTTATTATGTCTTATTTAAATTATTCAAAATTTAATTTCATAATCAGACTTTAACCACATATTAGGAATCTAATTAGTGATTATTATTCATATAAAATAATAAATTCTGTGATTTAATGTTAGATTTAAAATAAGTGCCGGATTAAATATATCTATTTGAAGTCTACATAATATAATACTATATATTGTTATTAATAGTTAATACCTATATTAATCGATATAATTAGTGATTGTTATTTAATTTTTTATTTCAACATTGTTAATTGTTATTAGTTTTGACATATTTAAAATGGGTCAGTTTATAATATACTTAATTTTTTTACTTTTAGTTATGTTACCCCATCTAGGTATTCATTTTATTTAAATAATTTTGTTTTTTAAATTTTTCAGTGGAAAAAATAGGGGATTTGCATAATTTTATACATTTTAAGTTACTTGCTCCAGATGGGATTAAGAAATGTCAAAATATAAATAATGAAGAAAAAAATGGACAAACCATTATTTTAGATAAATATAATTCAAGGTAATTATATAATAAAAGTATTTGTTGTAGCTTTTGTAACACATGGTTATAAATTATTAACTAATATATTAATTTACTTATTCCGTATAAAAATCTTAGAGAGAAATTGTAAAATGAAAATGAACATTTAAAATGTATACTTATATATTTAACATTCTGAAATAAATACTAATATATAATTTTTTTTTTTAATCAATTAAATATATCACTGTTTTTATTGTTATATTAAAATATGCTGTGTAATATATTATTTCTCTTTTTCGTTTATTTGTGAGTATAAATGTGATTCATTTGTTTGGGTATTAATAATTTGTATAAATTAAAAACTATATTTAAAAATGTATGATATTATCTACTAAACTTATCTTCTACTTAACATATTTACCTTACAAATGTACTATTATTTTTCAATCAGTTAGTTGTTATTAGTGGCGGATCTAAGGAGGCATAGGGGCCTCAGTCTCCCTCTTCAACAATATTGAAATAGAAGTACTAATCCTTGTTTTATTCTCACTGATAGTTTGTTCCGAAGATATGTTCCTTATAGTTTCTTCATTATTAAAAATATTAGTGAAATTGTCTGTTAGTCCTGCTGCTGCTGAAAGAAGTTTTTCTACTTTGAAATGAGTTAAAACTTGGCTTCATACTACCATAATTCAGGAAAGATTAAATGATTTATGTCTTTTAAATAAACATAGTGATTTAAATATGTATGATAAAAATGAAATCATTATTAATAATTTTCCTTTTAAAAATAAGTTCAGATTAGATTTGGTATTATACAAGATATTTTAAAATAAATAAATAAAAATTTTATAATAATATTATTATTATAGGTACCTAATTAACATAAACATTTCCTTATCTAACTATAATAAAATTAATAACATTCCCTTAACCATTTCTTTCATATTTTTAGGAACACATGAACTAGAATATTATATGTATTTATGGCGCAAAAGTAATTTTTTTAGGAAGTCTCCACAAAATTTAACCCTGGATCCGCCACTGTAGTTATAGACATAATTCATACATTATTAGAGATTATATTTTGAATAAATATCAGTTATAAAATATATACTTACTGTTGCTAACCTGTGTGATTCTATACTATTTCAGAGATGTTTCAATAATAATGAACAGTTTGAAGACATTCAATTATATGAAAATGAACAAAAATGAAAATTTAAATAACCTAAATATTTTTTTCAAAAATATTGTGAGTTATTAATTTAATAATTTTATCTATACTTAAATTGTAAATTTTATCATGGGTATTATCATTATTTTAATTTAGATTAGTGAAATAGCCAGGACAATGATTTTTCATATATTTAGTTAATTTACATAATTTTTTTATGAAATATGAGTAAAATAAAAACAATTTTTTACTGTATTATATATTTCATAGCTACTGTGAAAAAATATGTTGTATATTGAAACATTTTTTTTTTCATTTTAATGCTATAGCTATACATATATTTTAATACATTTATTGGGTGATATATATTTTTTTTGAGAACCCTGTTGCAGTGTCTCGACCATAGTCAAACTTAAGTTTTTTTGTTATTCAAATAACTTTGTATAATTAAATAATATTTTAAAAAAAATGTATAAAAATTAATATTTCTACAGTTTTATATTAAAACTAAAGTTATAAACAATAATTTTTATTGTGTCAACTAACTATATTATCAGCGATAAGCATGAAATAAGTTATATTGCACAATGTAATTATAAATCCAGATGACAATTATCATTTGCAACAATACACTTTGTGTAATAGGCATACAGGCTTTTATTTTCAAAATATCTTTCTAAAAATAATTAAACATTTTTTATGGTCTTTTTAGAGTTAAATCAAAATTGTTTATCCCATTTTTTAATTTAAATATGGTCATCCTAATTATTAATTTGTATTATACTTAGTATGTACAGCATTTATTTAATCAAAAAATTTATTTAGTAAAGAAAACTGTTCAAGATGTAAAAGTATTAATAGTTGAGTGTCCTGAGTTTTAATACTAATATTTTCGAAATATTCAATTCACTCATGTTTTTATAAAATTATGCAAAATCTATAATTTTGAACTAAATATTTTTATATACTTATATATTATAATAATTGTATTTATTTTATAGAAGCAGAATAAAGAAGCCCACGATAAAACACTTGCAATATTCAATTCAAGATTAAATAATAAGTAATTTTAATATATTAAATATTAATACTTAAAAAATAATACATTTTTTAATTATTTTTCTAAAAATTAAGTTCTAAATTTCTATTCAGTATGATAATGAAATGTATATTATCTCATATGTAAATATATGTTTTATTTTAAATAAATTTGTTTATTTTCAAAATACTGCTTTTAGTACTTCATTATTTATGACAATTTATTTAATAAGACAATATTTTATCTTACAATTTTTAATAAATATAAATGTTTATTAATAAACACATCATTTAATATTCTCAAAAGATATTCATAGTATGATATAATGTGGTTATTGCCTAAAGTTTTGTATTCAATTTTTAAATCTAAGTCATCAAAATACGTTTTTAATTCTTACTATTGTTATACAGTAATCCCAACAGTTTCTTTGTACTTATATATTTTATTGTTTTATCATACAAAAAGTATTTATTAATTATTATTTTTTCCAAAAATTGTTCTATATTACTACCACAAAAAAATTGTATTTTATAGAATTAAACCTATTTTATGCTACTTCCATTGATTATAAATACATTATAGATTATAATCAATAGTATACCTGTACCAATACGGCAGTAAAATTTATTATTATGTATATAACAAACACACTTCTATTAACTATTCATAGATATAAAATTTTATTTATATAGGTACATGGTATAAGATGCAGCATTTTGTAAAAATAAAATATAACAATGAAATTAGGTATTAAAAAAGAAAACAAAAATATTGCATATTTAGGTAAATTAAAAATAATGGTTTTAGTTATTATGTAATCATTTTTAAAGTACTTGGTCAATTTTTCAATTGTTTTTTTTTCGGTGTTCAGTGAAATTACTATAAAAATTAAAATGTAATTTTAACTTAGTCTAATTGATGTTATAAATTAAAATTATTATTTTAAAAAGTTCTTTGGGGTAGTTAGAAGAAAGAGAAGGTAAAACTTTCAATTTCGTATAAAATGTATACCTGTGTAAAATTATAATAATAACTGTTAAATTTTACGGCGCATAAGGACATGCGTGTGTGTATTTGCATTTTATATTACATTATTTATAATTAATTTATGCAAAATGTCCATGGTAAAAACATTAAAATCAATAATGTTCTTGTTAAAATTGTTAAGAATCATAAATTGGATAAATATACAGTTATACACATATATAACTAACTAAACGCAAAATTAGTAATTGGAAAAATCAATTTTGTTTTTCTGTTGTAAGCAAAAAAACTAATGTATTATTATGTCTACTATATACTATTTACATTTTATTAGGAAAAAAAAAGTGTTTATCTCTTTTTAACTTAATGACATCTAAATTAAAAAATAAATCTCGTGGTACTGTGGTAGTGTGGTATATGCAAAATGTATTAATACGGGTTTTAAATAATTGTATATAATATATGTATTGTTAATTATTTGTAACCTAGGCATATAAAAAAAATATTCCTACTCTTTACGAGATTGAACGTTTATTATTTATTCGTATTTTTAAGTTTATGTAAGAAATTTCAAAATATGTAACGGGATGGTATAATGCGAAAATATTATGAAGTATAGTCGAATGAAAATAAATTCTCCTTCAGAAGATACGGCGCCTGACAAACACAATATTGCCATCTTTGTCGAGATTAATTTATTTTTATACATATATTTTATTAATGCATAGTCGGCATTCATGTATGTCACCATCGTGTTTATATTAACAATAATTATCATATGTATTATTATTACTCGGTGGAGACTGTTCAACGGTTTTTAGTGAGTAAACAATTTGTAATTTACATGCATTACGATTTATTATTTTAGGTTTTGAGTGCAGCACGATGAATGTGTTGATTTCACAATAATGCATCGATAAATAATATATTATAGTACGATAAATAGTTAAAAAAATATTCCAATTTTCAAATTTAGGGGTGATTTTAAGTAGTAAAAAAGATATATAATTAGTATTTTTAAAAGGGAAAAAAAGTAGGAAAATAATTGTGAGCATTTTTCAAAAATACAAAAACTTATTTTAAAATTTAAAATTAAATACTCCTTTGACTATTTGAAAAGTTCAAAATATTATGAAAAATAATTTGATTTTCATCTCAGTGAATTTTAGTTTTATCGCACATACAATAACAAAATTAAAAACTAAAAATATCTCCTTAAATTATAGTTTACAAATTATTGAATCAGTGATGGAAAAATTAAAACTCGCAAGCAAAAAAATTGAAGACGTTGTAAAAAAAAATCCTGCAGGTGATATTGATTTTAAAATAATTTTCACTTTGCAGACACCCTTCTAAAAATTTGGAATTATCACCTTCGATATTACGCGCTTCAAAAATACGCTCATTACATCGGTTGATGTCGAACGATCGTTTAGTCGTTTTAAAAATATTTTGAAACCTAATAGGTGACATTTAACATTCAATAATTTAAAAGAAATTGTAATTATTCAATGTAATGTATCATTTTGATATTTTTATAACTATATTTATTGTATTTTTTCTATAAATGCTTGTAGGTACTTATACAGAAATAAAAATTTTATTTTCCACGTATTTTGATGTTTTAGGATATATTTTTTAAATTATACTTCCATATTTATGTATATATTTTTATATTTTTATTACATATAAATTTGTTCTCTATATTATAAAAGTATCTTTTTTTTTTTTATTATTGATAGATAAATCGCTTTTTGTAGACAATGATGTATCATTGACTTCGAATTGTACACATCTATTTGGTTTATATTAACTCTCTCTACACTTACCGTACAGCTGAGTGGTACCCACTCTAAAATACAAATATTATTGTTAAGAGTTAAAAAAAAATAATCCAATTTAATTTATGTTATAGTTTAATAAAATAATTTTTTTTATTTTTATTTTCCTAAATGTAATCAGTGTTTACAGTGCTTACATACACACTTCGCATTTGTATTTAACTTGTTTAAGGGATAATAAGCTTTGTTTTGTTACCTATTTCTAATGATTATTCATGCAATCCGTTATATTTATTATTCATGACATGTACCTATACAATAATATAAGTCTAATAATATTGTGATAATATATGTCTGTGGTCTGTACTTAAAATGGTTTTATCTTATCATAGACCATAGTTGTGTTTTTATCTTTAACCACGAGAGTGAGGTAAAGACTATATTTTTATCAATAATCAACTTGATGAAAATAATATGAATTGTATTTTACTATTTTGTATATAATATACAGATACAGAAGAAAATCTTTTAGAAAGTGTTATAAGTGTGAGTACAATATTTTAATATTTTTTATTTTAAAAATAAATTATTATATTGCGTTCTATTGTTTATAATAAAAAAGATAATTTTAGTAAGTTATAACCCTGTATCAAATTGAGTGTATTTGTGTAATTTTAATAATTAATTTTAATGTTGTTTTGTATAAAGAGCTATAAATATTTACAAATATGATGAAGACTAACCATTGTACTTAAAATGGGTACTTGTTGCAGTCGTCATTCGCCAGATCCCACACATCATCTGGGTAAATACCTATTATTTGAGTTTAATTTTTAAATAGGTAACCTATCTTTTTATGTTGCTTATTTGTATTTACTTTCTAGTTCTTCATCATGGCTTCAAAATACAAGATACTATAGATGTCTTGAATAAAGGATCCAGTGAAGTACGTTATGTGGCTGATTTGAATCGTCAACATGGGACAGCAAGCATTAAACGCCATGGTGTTGATATTATTCGTACTCCAACATCAACACGTATTAATAATTTAATTAATTTTTTAATTTTCTTGTATTTATTTAAAATAATATTTTAGTTCATTCATCTTTACATGGACGAATTGTGGTTGCTGTTTATAATTATCAATCTAGAGAGATGTCTGATGTCTCATTTGTTAAAGGAGATCGAA